CACATGTTAGAATGGCTATCATCAACAAGACAAGTAATAACAAGTATTGGAGAGGCTGTGGAGCAAAAGGAACCCTCATATACTGTTGGTAGAAATGTAAATTGGTACAGCCACTATGGAAAACAGTATGGAGGTTCCTCCAAAAATTAAGAATCAGAATTACCATATGACCCAGAAATCACTCTTCTGGGTATCTACTCAAAAAATCTGAAAACATTTATCAATAAATATATATGTACTCTTATGTTTATTGCAGCATTATTCATGGCAGCCAAGACATGAAAACAACCAAAGTGTCCTTTGATAGATGACTGGATAAAGAAGATGTGGTACATATATGCAATGGAAAATTATTCGGCTATAAGAAAAGATGAAACACTGCCATTTGCGACAACATGGATTAATTTTGAGATTATCATGCTAAGCGAAATATGTTAGACAGAAAATAGTCAAGAACTATGATTTCACTTATCTGTGGGATATAAAACTGCAACAAACAAAAAGCAACAAACAAACAAGGCAACAAAGAAACAAAAACTCATAGACACAGACAACAGTTTAGTGATTACTAGAGGGTAAGGGGGTAGTGGGGGTTGGTAGAAGAGGGTAAAAGAGTTCAAATATATGGTGATGGAATGAGAACTGACTCTGGGTGGTGAACACACAATGTGACAGATGATGTATTATAGAATTGTACACTTAAAACCTATGTAATTTTACTAAACAATGCCACCCTAATAAATTTAATAAAAACTAAATAAAAATGAATAATCACATAAAAAACAAGAAAAAAATGGTATTCCAAAAAAGAAATATAAGTACAAATAATTCTAAGATTCAAAAGAAATATGCCTGTACTAAAATCATGCTAATAATTTCCATGGGTAAGAAAACAAAATCTTAAAGAATTATGTAAAAATTATAATATTTTTCTTTTAATTTTATTTCTGAATCGCTTTGCATAGTAAAAGCTGGCACCATGTATATTAACTTAAGCATCTTGCATTGCCAATGAGTCAATTAAGTCAGGATCTGTAGGTATTTATATCATTTGTCATGAAACCTCTTCAGAATATACTCATGTATCTATTTATGACATGTCCTGTTTTACAACAAAACACAGAAGGGATCCGAATGAGGGCCCATGTTTTTGGTACAGAGGGCAACGATACAGGACAGATGAAGTTCCATGATGGCACCATCCCTAGGAGGGCCACTTCAGACTCCCTACCTTAGCTTCAATCAGAAAAACATCATAAGACTTAGCTGCACTTAGGTTTCATTATCTGTTTGCTGCAGGTTGAGAATAATTGCTGAATAAATTAGCGTCAGATCAGAGAGTATGAAATTAAAGACACAAATAAAGTGAGTTGCAACATGGTGAATTAAAAACAAGTATAAGACTTCCTAAGTTTAACATCAAGAGCTACCTTTATTAAAGGGAAATACAGTTCCAATTCACAAAGAACAAGAACAACAACAAAAAGACAAAGAAATATTTAAAATATTTAAATTTTGCTTTACTTATATGTACAGACTCATGGCAGCAACATCACATAGAACATTTGGGTAGGATACTGGACATTTAAAAACTATTCCCGACCACAGTACTACTGTTTGGACTAGAATTCACAGAACTTAGATATCATTTGTTGATATTGAAACTTGCTTCTATAAATGAAGTTTTCACATGCGTATGAATTATGTGGCAAAATTAATTGTCTTAGTATGAGTTTAGTTTTCTTAATTTAGCTCAGTTATATCCCACTCACATAAACAAGTTGCATAGTAAATCAGGGGTCTATAAAAGAAGATGAATATTAGCCCTAATAAATTTTGGATATTGTCTACTAATATCTGACACATTCACTTAAACAGGTGAAAATAAGTACATATTCACTATTGCCTGCCATTTTGTACACAAACACACACATGCACACACGCACACACACCTCTTAATTTAATCTACATAACAGTCTTATTAAGTAGGTATTATTTTTCCTTTTTTGTGTGACATTCTGGTTCAAAGTGTTAAGTAAGGTGACTGGAATGGCTTAGATTTAGGTAAAATAGGTTACCATAAATATTTGGGACATGATCTGTGACCTCAGGGAGCAGATTTTTTAAAGCTAGGAAGCTAAAATATATATGTAAAAGAGGCAAAATTAAATGGACAATTTGAATAAGAGCTTGGGACCAAAAAAAAGAGTTTGGGACAAATGAAGTAACATTACAGACTTTTGCAAAAATCCTTAGATAGGCAAACTTTTCAAAAGAAGAAAACATTACTTCAGGGTGAATGGGTGATGGTTAATTCATGGAGGTGATGAAATCTGAATAAGGTTTTGAAGGAATTTAAAAAGTAATGAATAAATATATGGGTGTCAGTTTCAGAGAAAGAGAAAATATAGGTAGGGCAAAATATGAGGTACATTAAAATGGACTAAGAAAGAAATGGATATGGAAGAGTTCAGAGCATAGGAAGAGATATAAATGGAAAAGTGATAACTATAGGAGTATATTTATTAATTATCTAGCCTGTGCCATGCCTACTCTAAAGTTTACCTGTATTCATGTCATCTTTACAACATCACTATGAGGTGTTCTTACTCCACATCACTGACGAAGAAACTAATGTTCTGAATGTTTAACTAACTTGTGCAAAGTCACATAGCAGTTTATGGTAAAACCAAAATTAAAATCAGAAGGCTAGAGTCACAGTTCATGTCCTTGACAATTAATTACACAATACTGCCTTCCATAATAATAGGACTGGCACCGTCCTAGATGTTACATTAACATTACAGAAGGTAGACTAGCTGCCTATGGAGCGTTACATTTACCCTGGGTAGTAGGGAGCCATGGTCAGAATTTATTTTAAGGAAGTTAAATTTAGCAGTCATATTAAAGACATGAAATGAAGACATGAAATTTGTCAAATATATTCATGCTATTATTACTATGACTATCATTAAGAACTCTCTCTTATATTAGATAAGACCATTCCTGTATGGGAAATAATATTACTCAATCATTGTTATTATGATTCTTGTTCCTATCGTATCTAGCATCATATGCTGTCACTGATGTTTTTTCAAGGTCTTTCCCTTGATAGAATATAGTCTATCAGACTATATTTAGAATATAGTCAAAATCAAATTTCAGTTTAATTTTACTGTATCTGTGACAATCTTCTTTACATCATATGTTTATTTCAAATATCTGTCCCGTTCATTACATGGTCTAATTTTTGTAAAAAGTTTTTATTTTTTTCTTTCCAAAAATATAGTTTTTCCTAGCCCCCCACATGCCTCTCCCTTGTCCCTGCATCCCATCTTTCTTTAGCAACTTATTTGTTCTGATACAACCTCAGGATGTCCTTCTTGCTATAGCAATAACCTCTTTGAGTTGCTGTAAAGAGGGTAATAATATATGGGCAAGTGACCCACTGGAGGAAGAAACATCTAAGTTTTGAAGAAACCCACATGTCTTGAAGGTTATTTTATTTTTAGGCTGGATTCTCTAGGGGCAATCTTACTGGAGATGTGTATCTCCTTGAGACATGAAGAAAATCAATCTCAGTAATACAGACTCATTTAAAAGTTCAGCCAGTCATTAACATGATACTTTTTGCTGTGCTCTTTTTCTTAAACTTGTGAGAAACTTCTGAATTCTCCTTGTGACCTACTCTGAATGAATCATGAGTTGGGAATTAACTTGTTATATACTAAACAAGTATTTTGTTTCATCTCTATTGTCTCTATTTATTGTTAAAATGTGTTGTTTTGTTTTCCATATTTGAAAGCTAAATGGAGTAAATGAATATCTAATATTTTAAAATGACTTGGTTGAGAGCATTTATTGAATACACATTGTTAGTATGCATATTTGGCATATGTAATTAAAAACTTAATTAATAGGAACTACAATAAAAGTTGAACAAACACTTGAAAGTCTAAAGAACGTTCCTTGCCAAAGTTTTCAGATGATATAGTAAGTTGATATGTAGGGCATGAAGAATGAAGGAAGGAATACAACTACATTAGCAATGGCAAAGAAAAAAATAGGTTAAAAGCAAATAAAGGCCTCAGTTATGTATCACATAAATACTTTATTGGATGACTGAAAAATTATTTGAAATCCTTATAGTGGGAAGCTCACCACATAACTACATTTACAGGACACTAACACAATTTTAAAAAAGAAGTGGAATTCTAGATATTTCTAAGAAAAAACTAGATTTGCTTCAACAAAATAATTAGTCTCAAGGAACTTTCACAGTCTTCTGAGGCTGCTGCTTTCTCTGGAAATATTAAAATATCTCAGTGAAAACAATGAATAATGGAAATATCTCTGGCTGTTAAAGAACTACTTAAGGCAGGGTACCTATGGTTATATTAATCCTATTAAATGTTTAACTTCAATGCCTCAATCAAAACTTTGATGCTAATATTTCATTAGGATAAAAAGTAAAGAGCCAGGAGAAAAAATGTGATACCATTACTGCTTCTTTTATCTGGATACATT